TTAATATAAAACTTCTCAAAAGAAGTTTATACCCCCAAAATTAGATCCCCTTGATTACCACGATGTTTTTTTACGAGATGCCTCTATTTTTGGTTAATAAATGTCTTTATTAACCTTTTTGGAAAATAAAAAAACTAGTTATATGAGAAATACGTAGCTGGTCATGCACACACAAAAAAAAAAAAAAAATGATCAATTTTTTTTGTTTTTATTTTTATAAAAAAAAAAAAATCAAAAACCGTTAGAAAAAAAAAAAAATGGTTAAAAAAAAAAAAAAAAAATTCAATTGGAAAAAGATTTGTTACCAATAAATAAAAAAAAAAAAAAATTTTTTTTTTTGAAAGGAAGTATGATTTAATTAATTTTGTAAGAGAAAATTTTATACATATAACAATAAAATTTTCACGTAATTAATATTTATATAACATTTTTTGTATTGTCACTAATTGCTTATGTTTGTTAATTCAACAGAAATATATATTAATTGCTGAACATAACTCATAACAAAGAAACAAGTAATAAACATTTAATTAATGATTAATATTCAATAAAGATTTAAATTTTTAATAAAAATAAAGATTTTTGTTAAAGTAAATAAATGCCTATTGAAATTAAAGAAAGCTGAACGAAATAGGTCATATAATGAAGGATCACTCGTTCAAAACATTGAAAAATACATACAAATAAATCAAAACTGTAGAGGCAACTCTACATGCTCTTTATTAATCTTTTTGTTCAGTACTCTTGCAAAGTCACCGAATACCCAGTTAAAAAATCAATAAACAAATGATAAATCAGAAGTACAGTAAAATACAAATAAATAAACATATAAAACGTTTCTAAACATTAAAAATTGGCTAATTGGTTAATAAAAGGATTCATTAACCTTTTTGGCTATAAAAAAGACTAGCTATGTGAAGAATACGTAGTTGGTTGTGCTCACAAAAAAAAAAAAAATATAATTATTTTTTATTTTAGAAGAGATTTTTTTTATGGAGAGAAGGATTATTTTTTAACAAAAGATAAGAATGTTTTTATAAAAGAGTTTAATTTGCATAATATTTATATTTTGAATTTGTGAGAGAAAATTTTATACATGTTACAATAAAATTTCCACGTAATTAGTATTCATATAATTTATTTGCATTTTTACTAATTGTTTATGTTTGTTAATTAAACAACAACATGTTTAAATTGCTGAACATAACTCATAACAAAGGAATAAGCAATTTACATTTAATTAATTGTCAATATTCAACAAGGATTTAAATTTTTAATAAAAATAGGGATTTTTATTAAAGTAAATAAATGCCTATTGAAATTAAAGAATGATGAACGAAATAGATCATATAATTAAGTATCTATCCTTCAAAGCATTTAAAAATATATACAAATACATCAAAATCGTAGAGTCATCTCTACTTGCTCTTTATTAATTTGTTTGTTAAGTACTCTAGCAAAGTCACCGAACACCCAGTTAATAAATCACTAATTTAGACTTCAACAAATAAGATTATATATTTTTTTTTAAAAAGTGTAATACTTTTTATAGAAAAATATATATAAACTATCTTTTAGTATTACCTTTGCTGAAAGGCAACTCTTGCTTGTATTTATATAAAAGGTTACATAAGTTAAAAAAAAAAATAAATCACTAGGAAAAATAGTGTTACTTCTTGGATCTAATATATTTGATATATAAATGAAAAAAAAACGAATTGTTTAATTTTTCTTATTTTAATTTTATTAATATTAAAGAATAAATTCTTTCATTTTTTGTAGAACTTCAAATTAATTAGAGAATATTGTGTTAATTGATGAACATAAAACGCATCAAATGAACAAATTTAAATTAAATACTAGTAAAAAATTGTTTACCTATTAAAAGAGTTAAAAAAAATATTCATTTATTATTTATTATTTATTAATTTTTTTATTTCTATAAACCAGAAACATTTAAATTAAAAATCTTTTATATGAAAAAAAATTAAGTTTAATTTTTCATTGTTTTTAAAAAATTCGAGTGAATGTTTTCAAATTTTTAAACATAAATTTTTATAAATTCAGTATATAATGATTTTTAATTTTGTTTTTATTTTTTTCATGCTTGAATTATTATTTATATATTCCGTAAAATTTTAATTTTTTTTCTTTTTCTTTTTCTTTTTCTTTTTATTAATATTAATTTCATCATCTGTAAATGAATATAAAATCATTTTCATTATAATTAATTTTATTTAAAATTAAGAAATTTAGATACCCATTTTTTTTAATAATACTTTCATAATTGTGTATACAGTAATAAAATAATATTAAGCATATTTATTTAAGTTTAAATAGTTATACTTTTAATATTAATATTATACTACATCATAAATACGTAACACAAATAAAGATCTGCATGTGCATAACTTTGATTTAAATGTTTCTTCATTGTGCAACAAATTATTATCTCATTTTTAGAATATATATCATTTCTTTTATCTCGATTATAACTTAAATAATATCATTATCATCTTTATTTTCATTCTATTTATTATTATTTTTTTTTTTTTTTTTCCATATAATTATGCACTTATAAAATTTATGCATGTTTTGAACACAATTTAAATTTTAGTTCTTTTTTTTTAATTATATCATTAATTTATTATATCATAATTAAAATAAAATTACTATCGATCACGTTGAGATAAAGATAAAATTATCTTGAATTTTGTTGCCTTTCAGAATAATTCATTATTATAATTTAACTTTATAACAAAAAAAAAAATTGTACTATTCTAATTTTTATTGTTTTATATTATTTAATTTTTTTTTTTTTTATTATTATTTTTATTTTCGTATACATCTTCATATAATTGTAGCAGATAGATATTGTATGTATGTGCATAATATATATTTAAATTTTATTTTTTGAATTATTAAAAATTAACTAAACATTATTGCCTTCTGTGTATAATTATTAATAAAATTCTATAATATATATTTGAAATCATATAACATTTATCACATTCAAACAATAGCAATAAATATTATAACAATATGTCGTCTTTCATTTATACATTACTCACATTATTATGAGTAATGTTATTTAGTTGTAATATTCAATAATGATCAATTAACATATTTTATATTATGCACTATTTTTATATTTTTCTCATTTGAAAATTTTTTTTATTATTTTCTTTTTATATTACGCATTATTTGATATAATTACTTTAATACATAATGAATTATTACATTATTGATCCAATGTTTTAAAAACACAATCGTTTAAATTATTAGAACATTCTTTTTTTTAATTAAAAAAAAAAAACTGTTAAATTCTGAAATGTAGGTATAAATAATGCTATTTAGATAAATACAAAAAAAGAAAATAGAAAATATTATTTATAACTTCCTAATTTTATGTTTAATCTACTATTACATTCATTTTACTCTAAAATAATACAAGTTATAGATTTAACTTTTTTTAATAATTTAAATGAAACTAACAGGTTAAAATTATATCTTAACAATTAAAAAAAAAACCTTATTGTACATATAAAGCTTTAAAATAAAGAGGAGATCCTATATATCTTGTAAAATTTCAAATATATATATATAGAAAAAAATTAATATTTAAAAATATAAAATTTATTATCACTGTATCTTTTTTTTCGTTATTAAAATCCAAAAAAAGAAAATAAAATAAGAGAACAATGAAACCAAGAAAAGTATGAATACATTTTACGTAAATAGTATTGTAGAGAAAACTTATAAAAAGAAAAATCTCAAATAATATAATACAACATAAATAACTATATTTTTTCAAAACAAAAATAAATAAGAAGTAAATACAGTAAAAAAAACACGTCATATGATTAACATAAATTATTAAAAGATCAGTTAGAAGAAAGTAAAAATGTTTATTTTACAATATAATATCATATCATCTATATTTCTTTTATATTCAATATTTTTTTCAGATGTTTTATATTAGTCAATTAGTAAAATTAATATAAAGATATATTTATTTAAATATATTCTTTTAAAATTGTTGTATAATTTTACATATTTTGTAAATTTAAAATTAAGTTTTGCAATTGGATTGCAAAAGAAATGCTTTTACTACTAATTTTGAAAAATAAAAATTGCATTTTTTTTTTATTTCACGAAAAAAAAAAAAAAATAAAAATAATAATGATAATAAAAAAAAAGATAAATTAAATATTTTTCACT